TAGAAAGAAGAGGAGAAGAAGCGATAAGCATTACTAGTGAATGGGGTCTTAATGTGGGTGTGGAACTTGCCGCAGACAAAACGTCTATGATGCTATTTAAAGGCAAATTATCACATGGTCGTCCTCCATTGATAAGGACAAACGGCAGGAGTTTGAAGTATGAGACAAAAGTTAAATACCTAGGTATTATGGTTGGTGAAAGGATGAACTTCCTGGCGCACATTAAATATGTGAATGACAAGCTGCTCGCTGTGGTGGGTAAAGTCAGAAGGATCCTAAGGAGTGATTGGGGACTCAGCAGACGAGCTGTACGCACCATATATGGGGGGCTATTTGTTGCCTGTGTAACATATGGTTCACCTATATGGTATAATACAGTGATGTCTGCTGCAGGGCTTAGGAAAATTCTGACCTGCCAGCGAGTGGCTTTGCTTGGTTGTATGCCTGTTTGTAGGACGGTATCGACGGACGCGCTCCAGGTCTTGTTAGGTGTTCCTCCTTTGGATCTAGAGGTAACACGGCGGGGAATTGCATTTAAGATCAAGAGAGGTTTACCTCTCTCGGAGCAAGACTGGGTGTCGGAGTTGGAGGTGTCTCGTGATATGGCGAGAAACAAGGCTCTTCTTCTTGAGCGTATGATCGCCAGGTGGCAAAATAGGTGGAATGAGAGCCAGAACGGGAGAGTCACATATGGATTTATCCCAGATGTGACGTTCGTTATGAATCGTCCAAGCTTTGGTTTTGGCCTTAGTCTTGGATTCATATTGACTGGACATGGTTCCCTAAATGCTTTTCTGCATACTAGGGGCCTGTCTGACACTGCTGAATGTGCATGTGGCAGGGGTCGTGAGAACTCCGCGCATGTGCTGACGCAGTGTCCATTGTATGATGACATACGTGACATTAATAGAATGGGGATTGTCCTTGTTAATGACCGATGGGACTATAGTAAGTGTCTGGATGACGAGGGTACATTTCAAGCTTTGGACTTGTTCTCCAAAGAGGTCTTTAATAGAAGAAGGACTGCTGCTCTGGAAACCGAGAGCTAACCACCTCGTAATTGTGCCCTGATTTGTTTCAGAATTGCTGCGCCTGTCCAGGCTTTAAATTGCCGGTCTTCCCTGGTGGTTGTTGGTTTTTTGTGGCTTGCTGTTAGTGTCTTCGTTGTTGGTTGGTGTCTTTTGAGATCTGCCTTTCCACTGTGTCATGTCGTGGGATCCTTCGTGAGGAGGGTCTTGTTTATTGTTGTGTCTTTTGTCTCTGCTTGTGAAGGTGATGGCCATCTATTGGTCGCAAGTCACCCGTGAGGGAGACTGAGTCGTTGTCTGTGTGTCCACTGTTGATGTGTTTTTGTTTTTAATATTGCTGGTTTGTGATGGCGTTGGTCACCAGTCCAGGATTGTTTGGAGTCCAACTGGTAGTAACTTCGGTTACGAAGCCTGACCGGAGGCTATATTCTGGTACCGCGGGTGCCAGGTGCCCCTAGGTCCTTGGACCTAGCCTGGCAGTTGGTGTTGGCCCCCTTGTGGGAGCTTCGCGGTGGCTGTGGTTTGTACCCAAATCGCGGGTAGAGTTTAACTCGAATGTGGAGTTGCATTTTCAACCGGGTGCCTGACCCATAGAAAGGCAGGAGTTTAGATAGGCTCTGCCCCTAACCAAGGGGGTGATCACGTCCAAATACGTGTGAACAATTGGTACTCACTTATGTGGGGGCGTTGGTAGACGCATAGTATTCACCCAGTGTTTAGAGCACCGTGGGGTTAAGCCAAAGAGGCAGGTATCCACGTACTCAAACTCACGAAACCCTCCAGAATATTTTCGCGATAATATTCGGCATTTATTCTGATGGCACGGTCGATTAATACGAGCGGAGAGTGACCATCGGCTGTTATGGCGGCCCACACCATCACCATGGCCGGCGCTTGGGTTCTGGTGGCCAACCGAAGGTGAACATTTTCAGCTGACCTCTTTGGCAAGTAAACACGATTATTTTGTTTGTTTACAAACTGCTCTGCTGGACAACAAATGTTTTCTCATCGGGAAAAACCAAATTCGGCTGTTCACCACTTTCGGCCAAGCGAAGCGACACTTTAGCCTCTTTTGAGTATATTTTCTTTCTGTTGCGGTGTAAGTTCTTACACTTTTTATACCCTCCACCATGGAATGGAGAGTATATTAAGTTTGTCATTCTGTCTGTAACACCTCGAAATCTACATTTGCACCCCATAAAATATACATGTTCTTGATCAGCATAAAATTCTATTTCGACTTAGCGATGTCCGCCCGTTTATCCGTCTATGGAAATCACTCTAGCTTTCGAACGAATCGAAGTAGATTTATAAAATTTCACTCAAATGTATATTATGTCTGCAGGACTTTTGGTATTGAAAATGGATGATGTAGGTCCACGTTTTGGTATAGCCCACATATAATGGTACCTCCCTATTTTCGGTATTTTGATGATTTTAGCGACATTATTTACCAAAATTGTTTCAAATTTGGTATTAGAAGTTCGTAATGGATACTTCATCCTATGACAGAAAATTGTCTGTGCAAGTCCACGTCTTCGAATAGCTCCATATAATGGTACCTTCCGATATTCGGTATTTTGATGGTTTTAGCTACATTCTGCACCGGCATTGTCTCAAATTTTGTATTTGAAGTTCGAAATGGCTACTACATCCTAAGACAGAAAATTGTCTGTGCAAGTCCACGTCTTCGTATTGCCCCCATATGACAGTACCTTCCGATATTCGGTATTTTCATGATTTTAGCGACATTATTTATCGGAATTGTTTGAAATTGGGTATTTGAAGTTCGTAATGGATACTGCAGCCTATGACAAAAAATTGTCTCTGCAAGTCCACGTCTTCGTATAGCCCCCATTTTACGGCACCTCCCACTATTCGGTAATTTGATGATTTTAGCGACATTATTTATCGGAATTGTTTGAAATTTTGTATTTGAAGTTCGTAATGGATACTTCATCCTATGACAGAAAATTGTCTGTGCAAGTCCATGTCTTCGTATTGCCCCCATATAACGGTACCTGTCGATATTCGGTATTTTGATGATTTTAGCGACATTATTCACCGAGTGTTTTTTCTAAGTTTCGCATTTGAATATTGTCATGGCTTATGACAAAACATACCTATGCAGGTCCATGTCGTCGTATAGACCCCAAAATAACAGCTACGTTCGGTATTTTTAAAATTTTAATAGAATTTTGAACGAATTTTATTTATTTTTGAGAATTGCCAAATTCGTTCCAAATGATGGAGGGTATTCAAAGTTCGGTCCGGCCGAACTTACAGCTTTTTTACTTGTTGGAATTTCAATGGCTTTACCCCCAGCTTATTTTTCAATATTTGCCGAATGGAATATTGCGATATGTTCAGCTCACGAGCCATTTTTAGGCCACTGCGAAGAGGGTTTTGATCAAGTCACTTCTTTACTTTTCGAACCATTTCTGCTGATGTTGCTGTTTTCTTCCATGCACTTCCTTGACATCGGGCTACGCTATCAGTATCACGATAACGAGCGATGGTACGAGACACAAAAGATTTATTCATTTATTATTTAGCCACTTGTGGCTTTCCAGCCAAATATAAAGAAATCACACTATCACACTTGAATTCCATAACGAATAACTTATTTTCTGGAAAATTCTCACCAAAATGCTTTTGTAAGCTTGTAAACAATATAATGAGCTGTCACTAGAATAATTTTAACAGTTATCGGATGAGTGGCTTAGAAATGACAGCAGTCTGTATTTGGTTGCAGTTTTTTCATCTCACCCTGTATATAGGAGCAATATAAAAATCTTAGCCGATCTCGATAAAATTTTGCAGAGGTATTTCCGAGCTCTGTAGTATATCTGGTACCAAATATCATTGTTGTCGAATTACGAATGTGAGGGACTTAAAGACCAAATCGGATGAAACACATATATGGGAGCTATAGCTATATCTGAACCGATTTTCACCAAATTTGATGTACTTGATTCTTGACTAAATTCGGTCGGATATGCCAAAATTCAGGCAATTTGGACTGATATTGGCCGTATGGTGCACAATTAACTCAAATTCGGTTGAAGATATGCATATGGAAGCTCTATCCAAATCTGAACCGATCTTGATAAAATTTGACAGAGGTATTTCTGGGTTGTATCTTATATCTGATACCAAATACTTTTCTTTATATATATATATATATATATATATATATATATATATATATATATATATATATATATATATATATATATATATATATATATATATGGGCGCTGAAGCTATATTTGAACCGATTGTCACCGAATTTGATGTACTTGCTTCTTGACTGAATTCTGTCGGATGTACCAAAATTCAGGTAATTTGGACTGATATCGGCCATTTGGTACACAATTAACCCGAATTCGGCTGAAGATATATATATGGAAGCTATATATAAATATGATCCGATTATCACATTTCAATAGGGTTCGACCTTGGGCCAAACAAATATTGTGTGGAAAATTTCATCTCAATCGGATAATAAATGCGACCCGCATTTTGTCCCAAGAATACATGGACAGACGGACGAACGGACAGACTGACATTCATAAGTCGATTCAGAAAGTGATTCTATGAAGATCCTCAAAAGTAATTATGGGTCTATTTCGCTTTCTAGCCTTACCCTTACCACTATGTGTTGTAGGGTATAAAAATATGTATATTTTCCGTCTGGTTTTCCCTTTTTATTGAAATTCGCAAAATCACCAAGTCTTTTCCCACCCAGTTTCCCCCCTCCTCGCATACGACAGATATTAATTGGATCCAATTACTAATTATTGTCACACACACACGCACAAATTTTTTTTTATATTTTTGTTTAATGTCAATCTTGTCTTATCTTGTCCGTTATGTTTATCATAGCCGTTAACAATTGGTGTTGAATCGATTGACGGTATTTCCTCTCCCCCTTAAGTTTTTTCCTTCGAAATCTATAAATACATGTAGAAATATAATAAACTTGGCAGTTGTATTTTAGATTTGGGTTAACGCGAAGAGAGCGAACCGATTAGTTGGTCGTGGTGTCGAAACGAAAAAAGAAAACAAAAAAATGAAATTTCTAATTGTAACGCTCGTAATTGTGGCAGCTGTTTTGGCGGGCAGTGAAGGTGATAAAGAAAAAACAGAAGATCTGTGATAGTTTTTAAGACAATTATGGAACAGAGATTATTTATCCAATTTTTTTTAAGGAAATATTGGAAAAAAAAACCGGAATAAATAAAAAAATAGCTCTGAGTGATATTGTGATCAGCGTATTCAAAATAAACTTGAAAATTTCCCAAATCGTGGAAAAGTGTTACAAGGAGTTGTAGTTACCCTGGACTTCATTACACACCCTGAAGACCCTGCATCGTGACACCATAATCAGCTGATAAAAAAAATGTTTCCCAAAATTGTGAAAAATATCTCAAGCCTTGTCACATGCAAGCCATATCAAAATAACATATTTTAATACCCTTTTCAAGAGAGATAGTTTTCTCTCTCTCCCTCGGAGAGCCCAAAATGTCAGTTTATGATCAATTCAATTGGACAATGTGACTCAAAATTCAAGATAAGTTAATCACATGTCGTGCAAAGGTTTTGCATGAAGACCTTCCATGCAAAAAAATACAATTAAAGATTAGAGATTTCTGTGTGTGTGTAAACACACACACACAGGGAGAGGGGCTTGTAATTAAATATCGGCTTGGGTGTGACGTCTATTTGAAAACATTTTGGCTCACATGTTCAATTTTAGAGGGAAAATGTAACATATCTACCACCCAATTCCAATCTTAACACCTTGTCGGCATTTCGAGGTGTGCCAAAAACAAATAATAATAAAAATGAATTTAAAAAGAAAAAAATACATTTCTTCAAAAATTCACCCCCAAAAAAAAAACAAAAATAAATAAATAAAAAAACAAGTAATAAATCTGTAAGTTAGGGCGGGCCAAGCTATGAATACCCTCCTCCATTTGCAATTTTCAAAAAAAAAAAATAAAATAGAATCCGTTAAAAATTCTGTTTCAATCGTGGACCTGGATAGGCAATAAGCCATTACAATATTCAAATGCTAAACTTGAATAAAAAATCGGTGAATAATGTTGCTAAAATCATCAAAATACGGAATATAGGGAGGTACATATATATGGAGCTTGTACGAAGGCCTGGACCTGCAAAGACAATTTTCTGTCATAGGCTGTAGTATCCATTACGAACTTCAAAAAATACAGAATATTTGGGAGGTGCCGTTATATGGGGGCTATACGAAGACGTGGACTTGCACAGACAATTTTCTGTCACATGCTGTAGTATCTATTTCGAACTTCAAATACCAAATTTTTTTTTTTTTTTTTTTTTTTTTATTACAATTCTCTTTATTTGCGATCTGTTTACAAGCAAAACAATAAGCAAATATAAAAAAAAAATACTTAAGAATAACAGATGTGTTAAATTCCAACGAACTCAACATCTCATACATATTTCATTGTCGATTTTATTAGTTATTGTTATCTACATAAAAGGGAGATCTAAAATGTGATTTCTTTTTAATCGTTTAGTTTCATTTGTATCATCTAACAGATTTATAGCTAATACATTAGGATGATAACTTAATCTGCTAAGATAGCTCTGGCTAATGCTTTTAATAACATTTTTAACTTTGGGAATTTTGAGGTCATTGTGAATTGAATTATTATTAACATACCAAGGTGCATCAGTTATTTGTCTTAGCGTTTTCGACTGATATCGCTGTAAAATTTCAATATTTGAGTTACTAGCCGTTCCCCATAGTTGTATGCCATAAGTCCAAATGGGCTTTAGAATGGTTTTGTATAAAATTAGTTTATTGTTCAAGCTTAGCTTAGATTTCGAACCGAGTAACCAATACATTCTTTTAGTTTTTACGTTCAGTTGTTGCCTCTTGGAGGTTATATGTTTTTTCCAATTTAGTTTCTTGTCAAGTGTAAGACCTAGGTACTTTACAGAATCAGCGGATGGGATAACACACCCATTTAGAGTTGGGGAAGGGCATTCTCCCCTCCTTAAAGTAAATGTGACGTGTGTTGATTTTTCTGTGTTAATTTTTATATTCCATTTGTTCAACCATTTTTCTGTCAGATTCAATTGTGATTGAATCAACTGTGAAGCAGATGAGGTACTCCTATTTGTGGCAAGAATTGCTGTATCATCTGCATAAGTTGCTACTGTAACATCCTCCGTTACTGGCATGTCGGCTGTAAATATTGTGTATAGTACTGGACCCAGCACACTTCCCTGTGGTACACCAGCTTTTATTGATCCATTAATTGAAACTTCGCCATCCACATTTACATAAAAAGTTCTTTTATATAGATACGATTTTAATAACAAATAAAATGGGGTAGGAAGTAGATGTTTAAGTTTGTACAACAATCCTTGATGCCAAACTTTATCAAAAGCTTGTTTTACGTCCAGAAAAACAGCAGAGCAAAATTTTTTACTTTCCAAACTTTCCCTTATTACTTTTACTAATCTGTGGCATTGTTCTGGTGTGCCGTGTTTTTCACGAAATCCAAACTGATAATCAGGTATGATGTTTATTTCTTGAAGTATCGGAAGTAGTCGTTTTTTAAACAATTTTTCAAATAGTTTGGAGCAGACAGGCAATAAGCTAATAGGTCTGTATGAAGATACACTATTTTCTGGTTTACCTGGTTTAGGTATCATCGTAATTTTACCATGTTTCCATTGCCTAGGAAAGTGTGAAAGTCTAATCATCGAGTTAAAGATAAGGGTCAAGAATACTACTCCCTTTTTCGGTAAAGCTTTAATAACTTTGTAATCTATCATGTCGTACCCTGGAGTTTTCTTGTTTAGTTGTTTTATCTCTTTCATTACTTCTTGATAAGTAAAAGGTTTTATTGGCCGACACATTTGGCACGGGATGTCTAGGAATTCCTTTATGTTTCTATCTTGGTCGCTATCACACAACTCAAATGGCGTAAAAGTGAGTTCAAGATAACGCCTAAACTCCTCGGCCTTTTCTTCCTTTGTTCTACACCAAGATCCATCAGCTTTCTGAATTGGAACGTTTCTTTTCTTAGGCTTTTTGAGATATTTAGTAGCTCTCCATAAGCTGTGCTCATTATTTTCGACAGGATTCAGATTGATTAAAAAGTTTCCAATTGATTCATTTTTATACTCCATAAGTCGTAATTTTAATTGATTAGTTGCTCGGTTAAACATTGTTTTATCGGAGGGTTGCCTTGTTGTTTGCCATACTTTACGTAAACGCCTTTTTTCTCTAATAAGTCTTCTTATTTCGCAGGTAATGTGAAAACCAGACTGATACATATCAACTCGTTTCGGAGTGCTTAATTTTGCCGCATGATGTGTTGTATTAATAAAATTTTCTATAGCATCTTCAATATCCTTACAATTTTTAATCGATATATTGAGGTCTATATTGTCGTGAATGTATTTTTGAAATATGCTGATATCAGTACGAGAAGTGATTAGCTGTTGATTCTCATGTTTTTCTAAATTTGTGGTTCTAAAATTTGCTATGATTGGAGTGTGATCAGAATTTAGATCATCACATGTATTTATAGTTAACATCGAATGACAGATTCCAGTAAAAACAAAGAAATCCAAAAGGTCTGGGATTTTATGAACATCTGTTGGCCAGTATGTAGGACTACCAGTAGTTAATATATTGTATTGATTTCCTGAAATACATTTATAGAGCTCTCGTCCCTTCGGATTTGAAAGTCGAGAGCCCCACCATATATGCTTGGCATTGAAGTCGCCGCCGACTATAAATTTATTTCCGAGGCTTTTGAAAAAATTTTCATATTGGTTACATTTAATGTTATATCTTGGAGGAAAGTAAACGGAGTAGATGGAAATGTTTGAATTTTCACATACAATATTAATACCAGCAGCTTGTAAGTAAGGTTCAGTTATTGACTGTTTTTCTTTGTATTTGATTTTTGATCTAATTATAATTGCTGCTCCACCATGAGCGCGATCGTCAGGGTGATTGGCAATTAGTACATCGTAATCTTTTATTTGGAAGAATGATTTACTGGTAAAATGGGTCTCAGATATTAAAAGAATGTCTACGTAGTTATTGTGTAGAAAAAGCTCAATTTCATTTCTGTGGTTTGATACACCATTGGCATTCCATTCAGCAATTACAAGATCTATTTGCATAATTTAGTCATAAGAAGCGACATCATATTAATTAAAGAATTTGTTAACTCAATCTGTTTTGCCATCATAGCTTCTATTTTGCTGAGTACACTTACTTCTGTCGAATCTTCTCCTCGTACCATCTGAGCATAAGACATTCCAGTATCTGGGTTCTGTACAGTATTGACATTATTTTCGGTGAACCCGAAATTTCTCTTGTGGGTAAGATTTGATTTTTTCTGTATAAGTTTTTGATATACGGGACATCCTTTATAACTAGATGTGTGCATATTTAAACAATGTACACATCTTGGTGGTGTGTCTGCAGGTTTTTTGCATTCAGAAGTAGGATGACCCAGACCACACTTACCACATTTATAGGGCTTCCTGCAATAGGATTTAGTATGTCCGAAATCCTGACATCGAAGACAACGTACTAGATCATTGAAACGTTTAGGAGGCTCGATAGTAATGTTGTTGTTGTATATTGAACGAATATCATATATATCTTTATTGTTATGTTTGGGATCCAAGTCCACGAAAAACATTGGCAAGGGCAACTTAGTTATTCGACTAATAATATTTCTCACACTTCTAACCTCATGACCTTTACTCATTAAAAATGCTTTAACATCAGAAATGTCAGTAGAATGATGTAACCCTTTAATAACTATTCTAAATGCTCTTTCCGTTTTAATCTGATATGTATGGTATGAGATGTTATGTTCTTCAAAGTATTTAATAATTTTACGAAATGACTCTACGTTTTTGATCATCAGGCGGACTTCGCCTCTAAGTAATGCCTTAAAATTAAAATGTTCCACTGGGATAACTTTACTTAGATTGTCCATCATTTTGCTAACATTATTCACATTAGGTATGAAAATTGGCGGAGGTTTTGGTATTGTTTGTGTTTCTGTGCCCTTGGTGTTATCAGTTTCACTACTCGTAA